GAGGCTGTGTGAGCTGCCAATACACCCACCTTGGCACTCAGCGGGTCAGGCACTGGGCAGACGCTCCTCCCTGAGTGGCGACAAGATGGCCTTTGCTGAAGTGTCCCTGGAGGCAGTGAGGAGACAGCAGCAGGAGTCCTGCAGAACCCGGGGAGGAGCCCAGGGCTGCCTGGCACTGTCATCACATGTGGCCTCTCTTCAGGACCCAGTGCAGTGCACGGTGGGACCCAGGATGGTGCAGAGACTTACCCCCCTTGGAGGGAGTCAGAGAGCCCGTGCAGGCATGCTCCAGGCATGAGTGGGTACCAACAGGGTGCTGCCCGTGCAGGCCTGCTCCAGCCACAAGGGGGTGCCAACAGGATGAGGGAGCCTTGTCCTGCCCTCAAGCTACTAATGGCCTGTAGTGGGAGTTGCCGAAGAGGGAAACACACCTGGGCTTGAAGGTGCGGGCAGGCCTGCTCGGTCTGACGGAAGGCATGGTTGATCTTAGCGTTGAGACGGGGTGGAGCAGTCATGCTGGTGAACACCCATGGTCACCGCTGTGTCCGCGCCGGGCTCGGTGCTCTGCACACGTGCCCTCCCAAATCCACGTCAGCCCCGGAGGTCGGTATTGGTGTCAATGGACACGTGAAGAAAGACTGGCTCTGAGCCTGTTGCCTGGCACCACACCACTGCCCGCCTGTCAGGAGAGACCGTGCAGAGGCCTGCCGGCCCAGCCGAAGCCGGTGCTGACTGGGAGCGCCCCGTCAGGAAGCAGGGTGGAGAAGCCGCCTTTCCCCGACCTATCTAGTGCCAGGGTGTGGCTTGGATTGGAGGCAGGTGCAGGCCGCTGGTGGAGCAGGTGAGGCTGTGCAAACTTGGAGAGGTGGTTGTATGCTCTGACTCTAATCCTGTAGTGAGGCCGGGCATGGAGAGAAGGGGAGAGGCCTCAGGGAGGGACTGGACTGGGATTCAGCCCCTCAGCAGCTGTTGAGAATGGAGGGGTGCAGTAGGTGAGAGGCTGAGAGCTTCGGTAGGAGGAATGGTGACCCCAGGGGCGGGCAGCAGAGGAGCAGGGCCGGCAGACGACAGCTCAGCCTAGGCCTGGGATAAGTGCAGCTGGAGCCACAGAGGGCCTGTTGTGGCCGGGCTCACTGAGTGGCCAAAGGACAGGAGCTGGGGCAGGACTGAAAAGGCCCCTTGCTCCATCCAGTTCGGTCAGTTAGGAAGAGTGGATCGGACAGAGCAGCCAGGGAGGGAGAGCAGCAGTGCTGTGTGGCAGCTGGGGTGGGAGGTACAGGCGTGTGGAGGGAGCCTCTGGGCTTGTGGGAGGAGTCCCTAGCTGGGGATCAGCTGGGTGACAAAATGGCACTGCCTTGGGGCTGCGGGGAGGCTGCAGACACCTCTCCGAGAGCTCCCTGGAGATGGCAGTGTGCTCATGGGCCGGAGGGAGGGAACTGGGACCGTACAAGTGGGTGCCAGGACTACACGCCAAGGTCCTGGGAGAGCAGACAAGGAGGGAAGGGGAGGGAGAAGCAGGGAATGGCGGAAACACCGGGAGCCTCAGTTTCCGCAGCAAAACAACGTGAAGGAGGAGAGCGCAGAACCGGGCTGGGAAGGAGCGAGGGCGCCTCAGCACAAATGCAGCTGGAGCCATTGTGGCCTGGCTCCCAGCCCTGGCTACACCTCAGTTCACCAGAGAGCCTGGGGCCCTACTGTGCTGGGCAGGGCCAGCAGCCTGGGTCTTGGCAGCTCTGCAGGTGGTCCTGAGGGCCTGCAGCCCCTGTGGACTCAGCTGAAGGTGGTTAGTAGCGAGGTGCCTGAGGTGAGGTGTGCTCACATTCCCTGGCGGCAGCCATTGTTTTAAGGTTTGTCAGGGGCTTTCCCTGGGCCAGGCATCTTCTCCCCACTCTGCGTGGATTACCTAATCCAACTCTCACAGCAGCTTGGCAGATGAGGACACTGAGGCACAGAGGGGGGTCGCCCCAGGAGGTTGCAGGAAGTGGAGGCACGCTGTAGACTCGGGTCAGCCAGGGAAGGAGGAGCTTAAGCAGGGCAGGGGCCCAGGCCAAGCTGCACTCGGGATGGAAGGTGAGGGGGATGCATCAGGAAGAGGGGGTCTTGCGCTCAGTGTGTCAAGGCCAAGCAGTTCCCCGTGTGGCTGAGGTCTCAGAAAAGGTCCCAGTAGACGATGATGGCCACCTCTCTAACACTGAGGGGGTCACCACAGTAAGCAGCCCCAGCTGGAGCCAGCAGGCAGGCCGTGTCCAGGACACGGGGGAGCCGTGGCCCACACACCTGGTAACACAGGAGGTTTGCTGGTCTGAGAGGCTGAGAAGGTGAGCCCACCCAGCTGGACCCCCGAGTCTGCGCAGTTTGTCAGTGGACGGGTACTTGTTAAACCAGGGGCTGCAGGGAGCCAGGAGAAGCCGATTTGATCATGCTGTCTCCAGAGGGTGTGTGTCCCAGTTCACCTTGAACTCCCCTCCTCTGGGCTCCCTCAGCCTTTGTCAGAGACCGAGCCTCCCTTAGGCAGATACTTTCTTCCTGGTTCTCTCTGCCCCTCCTGTGACAGCACAGTACCAGCCACATCAGAACATGAAATGATGAGCTCAGGACCCCGTGTGCACGAGGGGGAGCCATGCGGTATTAGGAGTGTGAGAGGTTAGATCTGATGCATTCGTGCAGGAGTTACCATGCATCGCTCAGGAGGTGTTTCATCTATCCATTCAGGAGGTGTTCAGGCATGGCTGTTTTTCTTAATCACAACCTTGAGACTCTTCTGTCTTTGATAATCCCAGTGTTTGGAAATTCCTGAGTGTCTTCAAAAGTAGTTGGTTTTTCCTCAGTGTTGTTCTCAGTATCCTGGGCAAGGCAGTCTGGTGGACCTTTGGGCCCATGAGGTCCTGAAGAACCTGTTGACTGTCACAGTGGATGGAAGCCGCTAGAAAGAGCAGGCAAGCCTCTCGGTTGCTCAGAACTGTGCTTCTCCAGGTGTGGGCTGAGGTCTCCCTGGAGGAGGCTGCACTTTTCCTCTCAAGGTTTCCAGGCCCACCCAGTGGTCAAGACTCACTGTCCCAAGCCCTTCCTTCCACCTCTGTCGGGTCCTCCTTCCTGCCTCCCTTGGGAGGGCTGTGAGCGGTATCTGAAACATTCCTTGGGTGATTTGGTGGCCGTTGGCCAGCCCCTTGGAGGAGGTAAAGTGATTGTCCTTTGAAGGTGGAACTAAATGGCAGTGAAAGAAATCAAGTGCTCATCGTCCAGAGAGCCACACCCAGTCCCCAGATGCCCCTTCCTCCTCGCCCGGCCACTAGCTCACCCGTGCTGGTCCCAGCGTCAGGTGCGGGTTCCCGGATGTGACCGCTGCGCCCACGGGTTCCTCTTCTCTTCCAGGTCTACCTCGATCTCGGAGTCAGACGTGCCTGCCAGAGCTGCTGCGGTTTCTGGGTCAGAACGTGCATGCCCGGAAGAATAAGAACGTCGACATCCTCTGGCAAGCTGCTGAGGTACTCGCAAGATTGAGGGCAGAGGGCTGAACATCAGGACAGTGAGAATGCCACACCCGAGGCTCATGGGCTGCAGTGCAGGCACACGAATCACGAATCACCGAGTAGATGCTAAGACCAGAAGACATTGTTGCCTGTGGGTTCATTCCCTGCGGGCTGCCTGGATTCGCGTAAGGTGACAGTGGTAGTCAGGCTGACAAAACTGTCACCTTCGGAAGCCTGCAGTTGGTCCCAGTAAACCCATGGCCTCCCCTCTGCATCTTCATTTAGGCTCAGAGGGAGGCCCTGGTGGCCTTTTGAATCCTTTAAACAACCTACCAGACGTGCCGGTTCCCATGCCCCACTTCCCTGACTGCTTGGACTGCACATATTTTCTCCTAAGTGGACCGTGGGATCCCAGCCATCTCTCTGAGGCTGGGCGTCAGAGCAGTCCTGAAGCTGCCCTTCCTCACCCCTCGTCATAAGCTGCCCAGCCCCGGGGTTGGGCACTAGGGGCCCCCAGTGGTGGTCCAGCTTCTGCCTGGCGGCAGTGCCGGGGGGACAGGAAGGAGCTGGCACTGCTGCCACCTAGTCCTGAGCCATCTCTGGCATCGCAGAGCCCACGGGGCAGAGGTGGGACTAGTCCCCACAGCCCTGAGCAGTCCTCCCCGCAGTGCCTCTGTGCTTGTCCGGAGAGTGCTCTCAGCGCAGAGCCATGCACGGCAGCGACAGTCAGCTGGTCACGGCGCCCGACAGCCATTCCAGAGGCTCACAGAGCCTGTGTTCGGAAGCCTGCCTTCACACAGCCCTCCTTTGGAGCGCGCCCACACCGTGGGCTTGTTCATGGCTGTGGCTGACACCTCTCTGTTGAGAAGCTTTGAAGAGTGTCGTTCCCTCTGTTGGTTAGAGTCCATTCACTCTTCCTTGTGCCCCAGATGGTAAGACCCACCCTCAGGGACAGTGTAGGGTGGGTCAGTCTGTGGAGCCTCTGCTGCCTTGCGAAAATCCCTTCATCACATTAGAACAAGCTGGAAGCTCCGAGTGACTGGCAGCTCAGCAGGTTTCCCAGGCTTCACTTTTCAGGTACCATCTTGGTTTTGGGACCTCATCTGGCGTTGGTTGATGGGACGGATGCAGGGCGGGGCGCATGCCTGCTGCGGGGCCGCCACCGCAGGGCTGGGCGCACACCCGCTGTGGGGCCGCCACCGCAGGGCAGAGTGGCTCCATACTTTGTTTTGTTTTGGGGGGACTGCTGACCACCACCAGCTGGGCTGTGACAAGATTGAGGGCAGAGGGCTGAACATCAGGACAGTGAGAATGCCACACAGCCACCTTTGCAAGACTTGAAGGAGCAATCCTTTCTCCATGATGCAGAGTCCAGGGCGTGACACACCCGATCCCAAGCAGGGGCATGGGGCTCGCACTCACTGACAGCTTTGCAGACCAGAGTCGACGCAGAGACCTCATGCGTTCCTTGTTTGAGAACTATTTGCACGTGACTATTGAATGATAGAAAAACCATTAAGTACAGGGACAGTTGGCCAGTCCCTGTCACCATGTCAAAAATGCAGTCCACCCATCCAGTCTAGTCTTGTTCTTGGGCAGAGGCTTCCGATACAGAAGCTCAGATCTAGAGGTGGGAGGTCCACAGTTCCTATAGTGTCCTGTCGGGCACAGGTGGGGACACAGTGCCAGGCCTCACCAGTACTGAGTTCCTGTCCCTAGGGGCTCATAGAAACTCTTCTTTTCTGAACTTGATTTCTTCTCATTTCTGTGTATGGATAAAGGGGCACTGAATATACAGCCAGAACAGCTCATATCACAGATGGGGAGCCCTGCAGATGGCTGAAGCCCTCTGGGATGGCACCCCGACACCACAGATGCCCTCTTGGGCAAGGCTGCACCTCTGGTCTCCCTGTCTTCCTTCTGGTACCTCATGGCTCTGATGGACCACCTGTGGACTTGGGAGGAACCTATTCGTATTTCCAGCTTATGCCACATATTTAGATCATGAATTCTAATGGGTCATCGGAAAAGTCATGACATGTTTTTCTGTTTGTCTATGCAGAGATGTGTCATGACCCAGTGATCCAGTGACCCCATATATCCTGTAGAACCTAGTGAACATGCCATGTGTACCCCCTTTTGTCAGTTATGATTTATCACATTTATTAAACCCCTCTGCGGTGTCCTAGGATCTGCTCGGGCTCTGGTCCTTTCCTTTTCTCATCTCTATTTGTTCTCAAGAGAAGCCTGTTGTCCTCCCTGTCCTGACTGGGTGCCGGGCCTTTTCTAGTTTGTTCCTCAGACCACACATGTAGTATGTCGAGGTGCCCCTGGTAGGCTGGGCGTCCCAGGCTCTGCTGGCCCGAGATGCAGGCTGGCACTGTCCTCAGGGCAGTTGACGACGTCTCTGGTATTTTTCTGGAACACTGTTGTACAGCTTGGGTGACGTTTCTTCAGAGACCGGTGTTGCGCTCCTTGGACAGGACCTGCACAGTCCGCTGTCCCTTATCTGAAGTTCTTGCGGCCACATGCTTTGGGAGTCACTGGATTTCAGATTTCAGAAGAGTCAGATGTGGAGAGTTGGTGTATGCCCATGTGTACAATGTGGTACACGCATGTGCCACAGTGCACATATATGTTTAATACCCCGATGGGAGTCTGGGTGTATGCACATGTGTATAATGTGGTACACACGTGTACCACAGTGCACACATATGTTTTAATACCCCGATGGGAGTCTGGGTGTATGCACATGTATATAATGTGGTATACACATGTACCACGGTGCACACATATGTTTTAATACCCCGATGGGAGTCTGGGTGTATGCACATGTGTATAATGTGGTACACACGTGTGCCACAGTGCACATATATGTCTTAATACCCCTATGGGAGTCTGGGTGTATGCACACATGTATAATGTGGTACACACATGTACCATGGTGCACATATATGTCTTAATACCCCTATGGGAGTCTGGGTGTATGCACATGTGTATAATGTGGTACACACGTGTGCCACAGTGCACATATATGTCTTAATACCCCTATGGGAGTCTGGATGTAAGCACATATGTATAATGTGGTACACATGTACACCACATATATGTCTTAATACCCCTGTGGGAGTCTGGGCAGCCTCTGGACTCCAACTCCCAATATTTCCTTGCTCAAAGGTATGACTATCTAATAAAGTGGGATAAATAGAGATTATAGGTGCTCTCGTATCACCTCAGGCCGAGTTGTGCCGCTGTGAGGGTGCTGCAAACCGCCTTTTTATTTTTAAGGTTTTACTATAGGGTCTGTGTGCTTACCAGAGATAGTGAGAGGGAAAGTGGGGAATCACTCCCCAGGGGGGATGGCCATGCCCCAGTCCCTTCTCCCTCATTCTCCTCCTGGGATTTTGGGCAGGCATGCATACCTGGCATGAGTTTCAAGCCGCCAGATCCCTGACTCGAACCTTGGTTGGCCTTGTGGGAGTCCAGCACTATGCTGCCTGCTGGTCCCGCTACAAACTACTTTTTAAAAACTCTTCTGTTTTAGAGCTTGCTGCATTTAGTGACTATGTACCTAGTACTGTATCTAGTGGTGCAGTGAGAACACCCCGATGTCCTTCCTGTGGGGAGAGTTGGTGCACGCAGATGATCTTTCCCCAGTGTGGAGGCTGTCCCGGCCCCGGCTCCCAGCCCCAACCCCCAGCCGTGTGAGCCCACCAGTGTGACGAGGCAGCTCCTAATCCTGTTCCCCGGGGCTCTAAGGGAGGCAGAGGAAGGCGGGAAGGGCCTGTGGAGCCTGGCGGCCAGAGGGAAGCAGATCTTCTGAGTTGTCCCATCTGTGCAAATGGAGAAGATCAGGGCCCAGCAGGCTTGTCCCTTGCCTCCCAGAAAGGTCCAAGATCTGGCCAGGGACTGAGCGTCATGGGGCAGGGTGTCATCTCCACTGCTGTCCTTCCCCAAGGACCAGCCAGAAAGGGCTGACCATGACCGGGGATGGGGGACCTGGGCAACATTTGGGAGGGTGAGCAACCAGACAGAGAGGGGGTGTCCTGGGGATAGCTGCAGGGCCCCCAAAGAGGCTCATGTTTCTCAATGACTCAGCCGAGCCCCTCTCTCTCGTGTGTGTGTGCGTGCGTGTGTGCATGCATGCATGTGTGTGTGTGTGAAGAGGAACCATTCTGTGGAGCCTCCCCTTCTAAGTACAGCCCGTTTTCCCATTGGCAGATCTGCCGCCGCCTTAACGGGGTCCGTTTCACCAGCTGCAAGAGCGCCAAGGACCGCACGGCCATGTCGGTGACGCTGGAGCAGTGCCTGATCCTGCAGCATGAGCACGGCATGGCGCCGCAGGTCTTCACCCAGGCCCTGGAGTGCATGCGCAGGTGAGTGCCCTGCCGCCGCCCTGCCTGCCCCAGCCTCCCGCCTCGTGTCCACCGCAGATGAGCGCTGGTGCCGCTGCCGCGCCTTCCCTGGGCCTCCCCTGCACGAGCCCGCTGTCACACTCGGGTTGGACGAACTGGTCCACCATTAGCACTGTAAATTCAGACGGTGCTCTCCTGTAAGGCGGGGGAGGGTGAGGGCTTTCTGAGCGAGGCTGCCCTGAAAGCCGGGGGGGTGGGTGAGCAGGCCGAGAGGACAGGCAGCTAAGCGGGAGCGTGCGCGCAGCCATGTGCGAGTCAGTGACCTGCGGCATCCCCTCGTCACCTGCCTGGCTGTGGGTAAGATTTAGGGCTAGCGTTCCTCGGCAGGAAGGCCCCGCTGCTGACTTCATCTGTGTGTGTCCATTCCCAAACCTGAGTGAGGAGAAAGCGTCTGCAGGTTGCACCGGTCCGCTCTGCTGCTTCTCTAGCAGTCGACACGGTTTGCTTTTCTGAGCAAAGTGTCCCATGAGTGTTTTATGGTGACAGCTGTCAGTGTGCCCTGGCGACCTCACCCTAATGATGTTCTGATTTGAGGCAGCAGGTGTGTTTGCAGAATGAGACCCGGAACTAATACTGTCCACTGTTGAGCGATGCCTTGTTTCAAGCACTGCTGGGCAGCCCCCACCTCACATACTGAAAGAAAGGATAAGAAACCTGGTTTCCCGTCTCCTTCGATGTAGTCACCAATGCTGTTAAAGTCTCGTTTCCAACGGTCACTTCTACTCAATGTTCTGTACCATTTGTCCTCTCACCAAATTCTTTGAAGCGTTCAATGCTCTTATCCTTTCTGTATGTTTCCACGTTTGGCCTTCTCGCAGCAGTGCACAAAAGCGGTGCCTGAGCTCCTGCTTCTTGGTAATAGCATTTCGTGAAAATGAAATTGTTGCGTCCCTGTTTTGTCTTTGCAAATTCATCGAAATCGCCATGTGCAAGTTCACCACTCCGCCTGCCCCCTGCCTCAGGGTAGCAATGGAGACTCTGATGCCAGCTTTGGGATGTCTTTTTTTTTTTTTGGCTAAATTACCTTGACTAAGGGACTGTCCATGGGCGCCCAGGACCCTTCAGCCTCCCGGTCCGATGCAGTCCCAGTACTGAGAGGTGGCAGCTGCTTCTGCACCATGACAGCTGTGCAGCAGTGGGGCAGGCTGCTTTGGCGAGCCACTGACCTCAGCCAGTGAAGAAGCCAGACAGAAACAGCCAGGGGTCCTTGGGTTTGCAGAAACGTAAGGGTCAGGTCCAGTCAGTAGGTTAGACTGTGAGTTAGGCAAACGTTTGGTGAGAGACTTCTAGCCAGCTCTTGGACCCACAAACAAGTTCAACAAAAAGAGTCCATTCTGACCTCCTCCGAGTACAGAGGTCCCAGGGGAGCAGGAAGACCACGGCTCCACAGAGATGCAGCGTGACTGCAGGGCCATCGTACATGTATGCAGAGGTGTGGGCGTGGCTAGCCCCCACGGTGCTCAGCCAGTTCCTTAGTAACACGCACAGCAAAAACACATGCACAGATTGTGACGCACACAATTCTGCCTATTGTTTTACCTTCATTTTTTTCATTTAATTTGTGGGCATCTTTTTAGGTTAAAAAACATCAGCCTTACCACGCTCTATTTTTTTTTTAAGAATTATTTTATTCAACTTTATTTATTTGTTTAAGTTGACCAGAGAGAGACACAGAGAGAGAGAGAGAGAGGGAAAGTGAGAAAGCAAGCTGCCATATCTGGGACTCAAACTATGGATGGCCATTTGGGAGTCCAGCGCCCTTAACCACCACGCCACTTGCTAGCCTCGACTACTCTGTTTTGTTTTGTTTTTTAATTTAAGAAAGAGCTTATGTGCACATGTGAGAGAGAGAGGAGAACCTTCCATGGGGTCTGGCCACACTGAAGGAAGGGGACTTCTTCCAGTCCCTGCTCGCTGCGTCCTGGGTGCGCTCATGTGTGCCCGGAGTACTTCCGGCTGACTGCGGTCTCTTGAGGGGTGAGCTACTGCTGCACCACAGAACCAACTCCAGGCCTCATCAGTGTAAACACTCCAGGACTTGGACCAGCCAGCTGGCATGGTAGTTAAGGCAGCTAGACCCCATATAGCCGACTGTGGCTCTAAGCCCCAGACTCAGCAGCTTGTAAAAAATGCCAGGCATGTGTACATCGGTGCCTAAAATCCTGAGGGGAAAAGCAGTATGGCCATCCCCCTTGGGGGTGATTTCTCATTTTCCTCTCGCTTTCCAGTGAGCACACGTGTTACAAAGCAATAACTAAAAACAAAAAGGAAACCCCTTGACTTACCAGACTTGCAGTCATTGACTGCTTCAGCAAAGGATGGCTTTTCAGCGTTTTAGTCAAGAGGGCACAGAACATCCTTATGTATTTGCCATTCACGTTTGCCAAACTGATTCCTGGGGTTAAAAAGTATACACCTTTGGGAACCAGCAGTTAGCGTAATGGCTATGTCGCTGGACTCCCATGTAGTCGACCGCGGTTCGTGTCCCGGACCCGGTGGCTTAAAACTCACGCCGGGCGCGTGTGCGTGCGTGCCCAAGATCCCGAGAGGAGAATGGAGGAGAAGGAATTGCGGCGTGACCATCCCCCCTGGGGGGTGATTTCTCGCTTTCTGTCTCTATGTCTCTCTCTGTCTGTCTGGCGAGTGCACGCGCCCTACAGTGAAAATCTCTCAAAAAAAAAAAAAATACACCTTTGTAAGGCTTTTTAATCATTTTTACTCTGATTCCTAAGTTGCTCCCATATTAGTCACACTTCTGCCCACAACGTTCCCAAGGGCCGCCCAGGACTCTGGCCTCACTGGGCGCTGTCCCTCCTGCGCCCTTTGGGCTGGAAGGCCAGCATTATTTTTCTGTCACAGGTAAGGACTCCACGGCCCTGAGTAGGGAAGGACCTTTTTCCTAGGGGGACAGGCCCCATCCCCATGACCTCCCTCTGCCTCTCTGCATCTCATCCCTGCCTCTAATTATGGGTGTCTTTTTCAGTTTTTCTTATTTATGTTTTCTTTTTTTCTTTGAATTTTCCCAACTCTCTACAGTAAACACGTGTTACTCAGTAGCTAGCTAAGAAACCATAGGGACAAAAGCACAGGTCTCCTGCCTGCCCAGGGTCCTCAGCAGCATTGCAGGCCCCACCTACAGAGACCTGTCTTAAAGTGGTGTGGTTACATGACTTGGAGGAGGACACACGTCTGTTGAGCTGGCTGCAACCCTGAGCTAGCTAGTCAAGAGCTGACATTTCCAGCTGCAGCGGGGGCCCTGCCTGTGGTTCAGCTGAGAGCCCTGAGGAGGCCATCCTGTTGTGACCAGCCCTCGCGTGGAGGACCGCGTTTTGGTTCCTGTGCTTCTCAGATGGAAGGACAGAACATGCAGGCAGGGGTGTGGGCAGAGCTGACGCCAGACTCTCCTAGAGGCCCAGGGCGGGCACTGGCCAGGGCTGTGCTGTAGATGTCAGCAGCCTGCTCGCTCCAAAAGAGCCCACTCGAGAGTGCTTACCAACTTGTGTGGCATAAATATTCCCACGGGCCCATTTCAAGCTCCCTCTGTGCCACACTGGCGATGCAGATGGGAAAAGGTTCGCATAGTCAGCCCCTGCGAGCCCCGTGAGCTGACAGAGCTGTCCCTCTGTCCCTGGTCCAGAGGCTGGACCTTCATGTAGTGGGGGCTGAGGAGCCACAGTGACCCACCAGCACACTCTGACAAGGCGGTCAGAGCCTGCCTCTAGGAAAGGGTCCCAGTCAGAAAGGTATACTCCAGTGCTCCCAGGTTCCTCTGGGAAAGCCTGGGAGGACTCACCAGGAGGAAGGAGCCCCAGACCCCCTGCCCCCGTCTTCAAGCGGGCCCCTCGCAGGCTGCCTGCTGTGTCCCGTGGTGACATGGATGCAGTTCCATAGTCTTGTGGTTCTAGGTACCTTGCACCTCAGTACGTTTCTTCCATGGCACCCAAAGGGGGGAACCCCACTCTTGAGGACCACCTTGTCGAGCAGTAACGTCCCAAGTGGAATACTCCAGTTGCTCCTGTGCTGCTCCTGCTGAGCCCAAGACCCCAGCAGGCCTCGCTCGGTTGCTCCCTGAGGTAAATGGTTTCCATTGTGTGGTTAGTCAAGAGGCAGCTTTGGCCAATCCATTACACCCCCGGCTCAGGCATCTGTGAGAAGGCCAAACCCCAATGGTTCTTCATGTTCAGCTTGCTTCTCGAATCCCCGTCTTGGCAGCATGTGGGGGCATGGCAGGGCGGCATGGAGTTGTGCTTGGCCAACCGAGAGAGTGAACATGGAAAACCATTCCTTCAACCAACATGTGTTTGTCTTCAGTAGACGGCAGTATTTTTCTTATTTTCACTTCTCTTTCTCTCCTTTTTTTTCCTGTAACTGTGCTGGTTTTGTTTTGGTCTTCCTTTTACACCCTTTTCTGCATATCATCTTTTCTTTCTGTTGTGGCTTCATTCCATTTTTTTTTTATCTTATGTTTTGGTTCTCCTCTCTTTTCCCCATACTTTTTGATAAAATCCACCGCATGCCTCCCTCCTTTTTCTTTATTTTCTTTCCTTTCCTTTTTTCTTTTCCTTTCTCCCAAACCTTTTCCTTTTCACAGCATTGGAACACGGGAGGTAGTCACCCAGAAGAACTTGAGCGGCCTGGTGCCCATCCGAGACTTAAGGCTAGACCCCAGCCTCCTCTGTTCCATTCCATTACTGGCTCTGAGCCCCAATTTACTGATTGTGTGGCTTTTTCTGAGCATAGCATACCTGGTGACCAAATTGCGTTGTAAATGAGTATCATTATGAAAAATTACTAAGTCACAAGAAAAACTAAAGTGCCCGAATATGCCCAGCCATCGCGTCCCTAACTGGACAGAAGGAATGTGTCCAAGCGTGGTCTGCCGAGAAATATTTCATGCCTTACAGTTTGACATTTTGTTCTTCCGAACTGTAAATACCTGCCAAATTATTTCAGCAAGAGGA